TGTGTATGTGTGTGTAGTGTGTGTAGTGTGTGTAGTGTGTGAGTGAGTGTGTGTGTGTGTGTGTGTGTGTGTGTGTGTGTAGTGTGTGTGTGTGTGTGTGTGTGTGTGTGTGTTTTCATGTTAATCTATTTAACAGACATTTGCTGACTTGTCGTTTCGCCTTCTCTACACGTGTCTTGTTTGAATAAAGTAAACGGCCAGAAAGCGCAGTGGAGAGGTACTACAGAGAAAAAGAAAAGACTTGTTTGTTTTAGTAGAGGCTTTACGGCGCTCGCAACTGCATAAGGTCATATGAGTGCCAGAAGTTAAGAGGCGTTACAAGAGAGTAACAAACATGAAAAAGAAGAAGGGGAAGATAAGGACGATAGATGTTTGATATGAAAGAAGGAGCAAACCACACCAGAGCACTCGCCAACCACCCACAAAAAGAAAAGACTGAAAGAAAAAAAAATCAGAACCTCCCAGTGGCACACTCCAATTATCCACACAGACACAAAAACAACAGCGGGAAAGAAATAACCACACACGAAGACAGACAGAAACAACAGAGTGAGAGAAAAGAAGCAGGCTGAAACGACAAAGCGAAAAAAAAGAAGAAGTAGGACGTACCCCACCAGTGACACCCTCCAACCACTCGCGATATCACCAACACAGCCTTTAAGAGTCTTGACATCAAGCAGTTAGAACACCAGTTGGCAGAGTGAGATAAACAGCCCTTACTTTCCAGGACCAAATCGACACCGGTTCAATGACAATATTGTGTTCCACTTCACACCTGCACAATAGACGACTTTCTTCCTAAGTGGCAATAGATCGTTTTTTCTTCCTAAGTGGCAATAGATCGTTTTTATCCCATAGATTTAAACATGTCATGTACCCCTAGATCACGCAGGGTCATGGCCATCGCTCTTCGATCCATATAAACGAAATACAAGTACTTCTCTCCAAAGCTGTGCACTAAATGACACTTGTTGAGTCGATAATATAATATATGCTTTTCTTAACTCAAACAAGCGTGCTGTGCTATTAGGCCTAAGCCCGGGGCGGTGCTACAGACTGATGTGTCTTTAGGCCATTCCCAAAAGGGTGGACATATCTTCTTATGCACAGTAGAATTATAAATTGTCATCAATGTCATGCTCATAACAGTGCATGAACTGCAACAGGGATCCTTTTTCTTTCCTAATACTATATATCGTCATTTTCCTCTACTTCTTTCGTAGGTTTGTTACACTCTTGTGACCAGTTATTTCCGGGGTGCCTTGATAGTCGAAACAGACTTTGTGGTGTTGAAACTTAAGAGGTGAGCAGAGTAAGCCCGATTCCAAGTAAAGACTTCTCAGTTGACCTCCGCCCCTTCTCGCTCATATGATCTTTATGCAGTTGCGAGAGCCTTAAAACCTTACTAAATAAATACTAAACTAAACGAAGTGTGCCCTCCATTGTGCACATTTATATTATAATACAAACCTATGATGTATTCTTACTTCATCTGATTGTTTTGCTTGAGTAAAGAAAAGCACATCGACACAATAAAATGATGATTTAGTGCTGAGAAAAAGTACACAGAAGGACAGAAATTTAAATGGGGTCAGTAAAGGAGTAGGATCTAACCAGTGGGGCCCTCCAACCACCCACATGACATATTACTTCGTGTTCCTCTGCGTCTGAGAGGGGTAACTTTTTTCCCGATTAGTTCTTTATTCTTTAATTTGTTTCTAGTAAGGCGGCGCCCAATGACACCGAGAGGGGCTGTTTAATGCAAGGAGAAAGAAAGAGAGACAGATTAACGGGGAACAACAGAAGGACAGAAATTTCAAGAAGTAGGCCTAACCAGGGTTTTTTTTTCTTTTTTGGGGGGGGGGCGGGTAAGAGTTTTACGGCACTTGCAAGCAACATAATACGGTCATATAAGTGCCGAAGGTTAGAGGTATTACAAAGGAGTAACAAACACAAAAAAGAAGGAGGGGAGACAAAGACGACAGATGGTTGATAGTAGAAGAAGCAAACCACACCAGAGCACCCGCCAACCACCCACAGACCTATCCAGCGGCCGACAAGAAAAACAAGAAATCCAGCAGATAGAAACATGAAAGGGAAATAAAATAATTCGGACCTACCAGTGGCGCCCTGGCCAGCAGTGCATCAAACTGATTAGAATCTGATATGTAAGCCTTCAAATAACAGCGGAGAAAGTCATACCCACAGACGAGTGTAATGAACAAGACGGTGACTTAGACGAGACAATTGGGAGTTTTTCTGGGCGGACACGACATAAAAATGTTTCGCGTCTGTTCTCTCAAGCCTTGACAACAACCGCTGAAAACGGGAGGAATCCCTCCAAAGAATTGGGAAAAACGACAGAAGGAGCAGTTGCGAGTAAAGAGAAGGACATCGGCAAAATTAATACGGGCTTCTCCGTTGTTGATTGTAGATGTTATCCCCCCCCT